ATTTCACTTTATGGCATAGTAGATATTTCACTCTTACCCAAAGTTTTAAGGTAATAATGAGACAAATACAAAAATGAAGACAGAAATACTATTTTATCCTGCATTCATGACCCATTAGGCATTTGTAGGCCCAGCCTCAAAGTCCGCATTGTAAACTGATTCACTAAAAATAGTTCCTATAGTGAAACATTGTATTAGCTGATATAATATATATTTTTCTTTCTCAAGATAAATTCATTTGCTAATTATTTCATATTATGATGGAAAGATGACTGTAGAAACTCTTGGCACAAATGACTGTACAAAAGCCTGCGCTTACAGAATTGACCAAACTCTAGTATTCTCTTTTAGTAGCTTAAGTCTGTGTCTGTTGGATGAGTCCAGCTCCCCTTCAAATGCTTGCCTGAAGAAGGTCAGAGTTGCAGACAATTTACTACTTGCTCCAGCCAAACCTGAAAATTGGCATATATGCTCTTGAGCCCACTCTTACATTTAGAAAGTTGGTAATTTATAAATCATTTCTCAGCCCTTTGAGATATAAATCTACTGCCTTCAACTTTCTCTTCAGAGACCCAGAAATACAGACATTCAAGGAGATACAACTCTTGCTCTAGCCTTCCAGATCCTGTGGGAGGATCATAACCTAATTTTGAGGGGTGTCTTACTCCAAATTGCATTCTCTTCAGTCAGAAAGAGAAAACTTTCTGTCTCCTTTGGATAAGTGCTGGTTAGTAAAAATCCAGATGGCAAGCCAGGCCTGGTGGCACATGCCTGAAATCCCAGCACTTGAGAAGCTGAGGCACGAGGATCGTTACAAATTTGAGACCCACCTGGGCTACAAAGTGAGCTCAAGACCAGCCTGAACTGCATAGTGAGACCCTGTCTCAAAAAGAAAAAAAAAAGTGCAGATGGTATAGTCATGTGGACTGGGCTCCTTGTTTATACCCCCAATCTTTACTTTAGCACCTCTCAGCATTTCAAGTTTCCTGCATTTTGTTTCCCAAAGCCGAGTTCCATTTACAGTGGTTTGGCTTCCCTACTACAGTAGTTTCTGATGAATAAAATATCTTTATTGCCTTAAAATGATGTCCTGTTTTGTTCCACTTTAATAGAATTTAACTATTTTATGTTTTTGAATACCACTTATGTCAGACAATTCTCTGATTAAATATAAACTGACAAAATAATAATATAATCTCAAGAGGTTTTAAAAAATAAAACCTCTCTTTTGTTTTTTCTTTGTTTTTGAGACAGGGTCTCAAAATATAGTTCAGGCTGTCCTCGAACTCACTATGTAATCCAGGCTGGTTTTAAACTCATGATGATACTCTTGCCTCAGCCTCCCAAGTACTGGGATTACAATCATACCCAACCACCCCTGGCTAATAAAACGTCTTGTCATTGATAACTTGTATTATAAACTTAAGAGACAGAATAGAATAGAAAACACTGAGTAGAGAGTTAAGAGTATTGATAAATGTGGACTCAATAAGTATGATTGGGCCTACAAGTGTAGTGGCTAAAAAAACCTACAAACTAGTACAGTAAAAAAATTTGAAATAATAAAAACCAATCCAACACAAAGAAAGGAGAGAAAAAGGAAGCATGCAACACAAAGTAAAACATAAAATGGCACATTTTCATTTAAACGTATCAGTAGCTACATTAAATGCCACAGTTAAGAGAGATCTTGTGAGTGTATTTAAGAGCTATGGATATGTGTGTTCTTCCTGAGGTAGAAGAAATATAGGTAGAAAGGAGACAAGGAAAATCATAATTTAAGAAGAATACAACTCAGGGAGCTCAGCTGGCCCCTCCCCAAGATGGCTCCTGGCCAATCGTTCTTTTGCTTGGGACAACTGAGCCTTTAGCACTCACCGCCAGCGAGTGCAGTCCTTCACTGCCGAGTCTCTCCATGGAGGCCTCTGGGGTTGCCAGCAATCGTTGTATCCTCAGGGAAACTGGTAACATCAAAGCTGGTTTAGAACATCTGCCACCAACTGAACAGGCCAAAGCCAGAATGCAACTAGCTGCTTGAAGCTGCTGTGAAAGCTGATGAAGCATTGAAGGCCAAAGATAGAAATGAAGAAGAAGCAAAGAGCAGAGAGGCAGAAGACGAAGCCACCCTGGTAGAACAAGTAAAAAGAGTTAAAGAAGTTAAAGATATTGGAAGTAATTCTTTTGTTCAGCAGAGATGCAGATTAAGTAAAGAAGTCAAAAAGTCAGTGGAACCTAGTGAAGTAAAACCTAACTACTCCACCATCAGGACCAGCATCTGTAGTTGCTGATCCACCCAGGGTTGAAAAAGAAAAAGACTCTAGCAGCATCCCTACTGCTATCAAGTACCAAGATGACAATTCTCTGGTTCATCCAAATATATTTATTGAAAAAGCTGAAGCTGAGGAAAAGTGGTTCAAGGGATTACTTGCTCTTTGACAAGAGAGATTAATGGGCAGTCCTGTGGCCTAATATATTGGTTAAATCAACAGTAATTGGTAATATATTGGTTAAATCAACAGTAACTTTGGAAATTTAGGTTTTTGAATCCCAATATTAACTTTTACTCTTAAAAAGAACTTAGCTTATTATCTAAAAGTGTATATTCTACCCATCTCTCATGTAGGCTTGAGTATTTGTTGATTTGAACTGAATCAGACATTGTAAATAGCAAAGCTAGAACAAAATTTTTAAATGCATGAAAATGTACTATTAATAAAGCTAATCATAAAATATTGTTAAATAGTATTCAGGAGTGTTTTATAGTACAGCTTGAAAAAGTTGTTATTTAAATACTATTGCTTCAGATAACTGTAACTGCATATATAAGAATCAAATTATATGCTATAAATATGAGATTTCATCTACAGATTAGGAAACCCCAGTTGAATCTTTTATCTCACCTTGTTAAAAAAAGTTTAGGAACAATAAAAAGCACCCAAAACTACCTAAGCAAAACAAGCATGGTAAAATTAAAGGACTAACATATCCACCCCCCCAAAAAAAAGAAGAATACAATTTAGGACACAAAGCTACTCAAGGTTATCCATGTCTATGTAGTGCTCCATATCTTTACTGCCCAGGCTTGTTTTTTGTGTTTGTCTTGTTTTTAAACTTCCAAGTCCATCATGTCACTGGGAAACTGATTCCTTACACAGTTCCTCACTTCTGTGTTCTTTGTGTTTTAGATGAAAAAATTCATAGAAGACATAGAGGTGGCCATGCTGAAATTTGGCAGAATTTACTATAAGAAGATATAAAGAGAATTACACCTTAAATAAGAAGTGTCATGTAGGCGTCTACTCTAAGTGCAGATTTGGATTCTTTTTTTGTTGTTGTTTTTGTAGATTGACCCAAAGACCTTTGTACCCCAGCCACACACCATATATATAATTTTTAAAAATATTTATTTATTTATTTATTGCAACAGGGTCTCCCTATGTAGTCTGGGCTGATCTTGAACCCACTATGAGCTCAGAATCCTCCTGCCTCAGCCTCATGGGTGCTGAGATTGCAGGTGTGCACCACCAGGCCCAATTTATTTTTGAGACAAGTTGTCTTTCTAAATTGTATAAACTGGGTTCAAACTTGAAATCCTCCTGCTTCACCTTCTCAGAATGTTGGGAGTATAGGCATATACTACCACGCCCTGCTTTAATGTCTTTTTATGTGCAGGAGAATCATTCTCAGGGTTCAGGGAACTATGATGATTATCATTGTTTTAACTATATAATATACATGCTTATTAATATTTTTCTTAGCGCTTACTTTGGAAAGTTGGTATTTTGAAAATATCTTCCTTGTTCTTTTCAGATGGTTAGTGCCCCCCAAGGGCCTTAATCATGTAAGAAATTTAGAACTTTATGAAAAAAATTTCAAATCAAAATGAAGTCTCAGCACAAGATATGAGTGTCTTTAAAGAAGACATCCCTTCTGATGTCATTGAGCTGAATTTGAGACAAACCAAAAATGTTACAGTACATAACTTTAAAATGTCATAGTGCTATGTAGGGTCATTTTGGATCGGAGACCAAATACATGATTCTAAGTGGATTATACACTGACGTCTTTATTTCTTCATTGAATGTAACTGGCAGAGCATACTATTGTACTGTACTGTAATTTGGACCTTTTCTGTCCCTCAGGCTCACTAGTGTCTACCTACCTGCGTAACAATCACTCCCCAAACCTTTAAAGATACTACAAATCCATAAATTAACCTAGTTTAGTAATAGGGTTAAGGGCAGCAACCTGATCCTAAAATGAACAGATTCAAAGAGTGTAAAGAGTGTTTTTGGTAAAACATCTTAAGATCAGTCACCCTAAAGGACAACTTTAAGACTGCTATGTGTCCCCAACGCTAGACTACAGTGCTGCTTTCTCCTTTATTTAATTCTGCCTAATAAAACCATTCTTTCAAAAACAAAAACAAAACCCATTCTTTGTCTCTCACTGACATCTTGGAATTCCCTAAAAAGAATCAAGAACCTACTCCGCTGGCTAATATGAGAACTTCCTATTAGCTAGCAGAGTAGGTGTAGGGACTCCAGGTGACATTTCCTTAATCACTAGACCTCTCCCAATCTTATGACCATGAAAGCCTGGGCTAAGAGACTACACTGGGCAAACCTTAAGCAGCAACCAAGTGCCTAGAGCCACAGACTTCAGGTAGGGAGAGCGTCGGATGCAAAGGCCTTCGGGAAATGTAGTCCAGTGCTCCAAAATAACAGCCACCGAAGGTGGGATGTGCAGAAGTGCTTTCGCACGCTTGGTCCCAAAGTAAAGTTCTCCACCCCATCCCGAACAGAAGACTCAGAAATTTTAGGGGACCCTAACCTATGTTCTGTAAGAGGTTCCCCTGAATTCCAACTGCCAATTACACGCACGCTTCTCTTCTGAGATTGCCTACTTCTGTTTAGAAAAGCGTTCTCGGACAGTGAGGATCTCGCGGGAAGTTGGTTACAGTGCAGTGCATTCTGGGAAACGTAGTGTCCTGCGGGCGCAGAAAAATGGCTGAACTGGCTGGAAGGATGTTGTTCGGGATCTTATAACCGCCGTACTGAATGTGATGAGTACCTGGCCAGACAGCGCTCGATTGTCCTCGGAGGACGCTGACGCGTCCGGGTACAATGTGTGCTTTTGTATAGGGGTGAGTGTAGTTACTGGTTCTAAGCAGTTGGAGTCGGGAGGTAAGGCCTGTTTTTCTCGGATGCCAGGCTGCCTGCTGGCTAGCTGTAGGGGACGCACCCGGATCCCAGCATGGGGCTGGAACTGCACACAGACACCAGCTGAAGGCCCTGCGGCTGGCGGGTGTGGCAGGAGTGACCGGCTGCAGGGAGCATGTGACTGTGTGCCAGAGCGTGCGCGTGAGACCATCAGAGTGTGAGTGACAGATTCACGATTTCGGATCCCCCCTTGCACCGTGCAGTGCGGGAAAGTAACGGTAGTTGTTTGAGGTTCGTTTACTCGAACATTTGGAAAGGAAGAAACTAAATAATAGATGTGGTAGCAGTATAAAACAGGGTTTCTGTTTACCAGATAAGTTTATTGCATAAAATATCCATCGTGACTTTTAAATACAGACAGAAAAATATGTGAAAGCAATATTGAAAGTTCTGCTGACTGTATATGTGCAGGCCTACTTCCAGACTCTGCATTTTGTTCTGTTGATCTGTTTATGTGTCTGAAAATCAGTAACATACTGTCTTGATCGATATCGCTGAAAGTTAGAAATCAAGAAATGTAAAATTTCCAACTTTGTTCATTTTCAAAGTTGTTTTGAATGTTCTCTTTGTTCAGACTTTGAGGCCAGCCTAGGCTACAAAGTGAGTTCAAGGCCAGCCTGAATTGCATAGTGAAACCCTGTCTCAAGAAGACACACACACAAAAAAAGTTGACATCCTTTACCTTATTCCTAAGATAAAAAGCATTTAACCACTTACCACTAAGAACAGTGATAGCTAAAAGGTTTTTTGTAGTTGTTCATTACCAGATTGTGGAAATTCCTTTGCATTCCTCATGTCATTGTTCACAGCTTTTAGGAGAAATGTGTTAGATTTTTTCCAAATGCTTTTTGTACATCTTTGAGATGATCATTTGTTTTTTAATGAATGCACTGAATTTTTTCTGTTAACGAAAATTTTAATGATTTTTAAATATGAACCAAACTTGCATTTCTGGGACCCCTTTCTCATAATTTCTTTTTAAAATTTTTTAAAATACTTATTTATTTTTTATGATTTCTACTTTTGATATGTTGTCAGACTTAAAATTTAAAATTTTCTTTAGTACATATACTTGCAGTGGCTTACTGATTTTGGTATCAGGATAATGCTGACTCACTGAATGACTTGTGAGGTATTGTCATTTTGGAAGAGTTTGTTTCAGAATTGGAATTATTTCTTCTTCAGATATTTGGTAAAATATCTCAACAAAGCCACCTGGGCCTGGAATTTTATTACTTCAGTGTTTAAGCTCTGAATTAAATGTAATAGATACAGGGATACTCATGAGCCTTTTCTTAAGAAAGCTTTGGTAATTTGTATTTTTTGTCAATTTTATCCAATTTTTAACATTTAGAGTTGGGTAGACTGTGCCTAGGATCCAGGAGGTCTTCAAATCAATCCCCAGGACTATGAAAGAAAGAAAGAGAAAGAAAGAAAGGAAGAGAAAAAGTAAATTGGTATAAATATGTTCTAAATACATTTTTCTCCTTTCAAGATCTGTAGAATAAATAATAATACTGTATTTGTTTTTTGTTTTGTTTCATTTTGTTTTGTTTTGTTTTCCGGTACTGGGAATCAAACTCACGACCTTGCGCTTGCCAGGCAGGTGCTGTGCTGCTGAGCTGAATCCCCAGCTCCCTGTTTTCTTATATTTGATGGTAATTTGTGTCTTCCTGTTTTTCTGCTTGATATAAGCTTATCAGTTTCATTGAGTTTTTCAAAAATGGATTTTGGATATTTTTATTTAAACTTTTTCCCCCGTTTTATTGATTTCAGCTTTGGTGTCTATTTTTCCTTTCTTCTGATTATACCTAATTTATTTCCTCATTTTTCCCATAAATTTTTATGGGGAAAGCTAAGGCCATCAATTTTAGTATTCTCCTTTGTAATGTAAGCATTTAGGTAGGCTTTATTTATTTATTTTTGAGACAGGATCTCCATATGTAGTTCAGGCTAGCCTTGACTTTACTATGTAGCCCAGGTTGGCCTTCAATTTGTGGCAACCCACCTGCCTCAGCCTCTAGAGTGCTGAGATTACAGACCTGCACCACCATACCTGGCCAGTGTAAGCCTTGAGAACCACATTTTCCCCTAAGTATTGCTTCAGCTACTCATTTTGAAGGTCCGTGTTTTTATTTTCTTAATTCAAAAATATTCACTTAACTGCTTTAGGATAATTTTTAACCATTGCGCTAATTAGAAGCATCTTAGTTTCCAAGTATAGAGGGTTTGGTTCAGTTATCTCTGTATTATTGATATCTAACCTAATTCCTTTGTGACAAGAGAATATACTTTCAGTGACTTAAAATTGTTTTACATTCAGTGAAATTTGGTTAGTACGCAGAATATTGTCTACTTGATAACTGTTCTGTATAATACACACTTGAAAAGAGTGTGTATTCTATTTGGGGGTAGAGTGACCTATAAATGTCAATTAGGACAGATTGACTGATAGTGGTGTTCAAGTGTTCCATATTTTTATTTTCTGTTCATTCATCTGCTAATTACTGAGATAACTGTGCTAAAATCTCTGTGGATTTGTCCTTGCAGTGTAATAGTCTTTGTTTCATGAATTTTGAGACAATCGCTTTCTTAATTCATTTTTTGGTTTTTTTTTTTTTTTTTTTTTGAGACAAGGTCTCACTATGTAGTCCAGGCTGGCAACTCATGTAGTCCAGGGTGTTTTCAAACTCATGGCCGTCTTCCTGAGTGTTGGGATTACAGACATCTGCACCAAGCCTGGCCCCTTAAAACAGTCTTTTGATTACTGTCAGCAAGTTAGGGTTTTTTCTGTACTTTCACTTTTATCCTACTGTACCTTTCCATAGATAACACAGGTTTTCATAATCCAATTTGATAATGTTTGTGTTTTACTTGGTCTGCTAGTTTCCAGTGACTACAGTTAAAAATCTACTATAATTTGGTGACTTTAAGACAATAGCAATTTATTCTTTCTGGACTATAGAAAAGTTCTATTTCACTGGGCCAAACCAAGGTGTCAGCAGGACTGTAATGCCTCTGGAAGGCACAAAGGAAGAATCCACCCCATGCCATTTCTGCAACTTCTCAAGACTTCTGATTTGCTGGCTTTTACTCACTCCATTCATTTTATTTATGGTACAGGAGATTGAACTGAGGTTCTTCACCGTATGCTATACTCCTAGCCCCATTCACCTACCCTCTTTTTTTCTGTTTGTTTAATTTTGAGATAGGGACTCTTGAGCTGTCTAAGTTGCTCATACTGGGTTCTAAGTTGATGATGCTCCTACCTCAGCCTTCCAGAGTGCTAAGTTTATAGATGTGTCCAACCCAGCTTGGCTTGTGTCACTCCAATCTTTTTGCTTTGTTTTGTTTTTATATTTTTATTTTTATCACTCTAATCTTAAGGCCTGCATCTTCGTTTTTTTCACTCTTTTTAAAAAATTAGTACATTTGTATTACATGCTGACATTCATTGTGAGTTGTTACATTTACATAATACATCTTAATTCTTTTTTTATCCCCTTCCCTTTCACTCCCTCCCCTTTCCCGCCATCTAGTGATCCCCTTCCTATTTTGCAAAAGCTCCTCATTTCCTATTACCTGTCTTTCATTTTGTTCTTTTGGGTTTCTCATTTGAGAGAAACCATGCAATATTTAAGCTTGTGAGTTGATTTATTTCACTTAACATCATGGTCTCAAAGTACATCCATTTTCCTGCAAATGACTCAAGTTTATCCTCCTTTTTGGTAGTACTTCATTCTGTGTAAATATCACATTTTCATTATTCACTCATCTGTTGATGGATATTTAAGCTGCTTCCAAGATTTAGCTATTATGAGTTGTGCTGCTATAAACATGGGTATGCATGAATCACTGTAATATGTGTCTTGAACTCCTTCAGGAAGATACCAAGAAGGGGAATAGCTGGGGGTCAAATGAGATTTCTATTTTTAGTTTTCTGAGGAATCTCCATATTGATTTCCATAGGGAGTGTTCTAGTTTACATTCCCACCAACAATACAGAAGGGTTCCTGATTCCCAACAGCCTTGTTAACATTTGTTACTATTTGATTTCTTGATGATAGCCATTCTTTCTGGAGTAAGATAGAATCTCAGTTGTTTTTTTTTTTTAATTTACATTTCTCTAATGGCCAGAGATGTTATTTTTTTTCCCCCTTTCTTTGTTTATTTTTTGGCTTGTGAGACAGGGTCTTGCTTTGTAGTTGTAGTTCAGACTGGCCTTGAACTCATTTATGTAGCCCAGGCTGGCCTCAAACTCATGATGATTCTCCTGCCCCCACATCCTGAGTACTGAGATGACAGGCATGCTTGACTTTTTTCATGTGTTTATTCAGACCCACATCTTCAACTCACTCTCTGCTCAATCTTTTTATGGCCTCCTCCTGTGAATGTCTGTATCTCCTGTATTCTTCTGGCTCTCAGCAAAATGTCATCTTGTCAAGATCCTTAATTGTATCTATAGTTTCTGTTACCATATAAGGCAAAATTTACAAGTTCCAAGGATTAGGACATAGTATTTTGGGGGGACATTATTTAGTTTACTGCAATTGGAATGTTTAGATCATTGGCCAGTGGAATTATTTATGTAGTTAGGTTTAAATGTACTTTGTACATCTATCATCTATCTCTTCCTTCTTTTTTCCTTCCTTGTTTTTGATAAACTAATCATTTTTAATTAAATCAGTATGCTTTATTGATTTTATTAGCTTTCTCTGTGGGATTTGTGGGCCATAACATTTTTGTCACAATTACTCAACTCTGAGAATGCTCAGAGTATAAATGGATTAGCATGGTTGTGTTATAATACAACTTTATAAATCATGGAATTTGAATTTCACGTAAGTTTCATGTGTCATAAAATATTATTCTTTTGTCCTTTCCTCCCAATCTGTGGGCTGTGTAAAACAGACCATATTTGGCT